TAAATGATACATTAAGAAAAACACCATTCAGATATAACCGTTATCTCCCTTTAATTTTCTACGTTTGGATTTTTTAAGTGAAGTGAACCATTCAACTAAGTGAAAAATTGATTTAATGGTTTCAGTGAAACCAGTTTTCACACAAATTATATTTACTGTTATGAATTGGACCCAACAGAAACCAGTCTTTTTTTTTTTATCATATGTGTTAAGGAAATAATGGATAAAAACACATAATTTTGATTTAATAATTCTCTTAAAATATTTCTTTGTCTGCATATTGATAGGACCTTTCTTTTTTCTTTTTTTTTTTTCATAAATTGCATGTTTTATTAGTTAAGCTGAGATTGTGAAAATGATTAAAAATCAGTCAGTATTTATCTCTGCCAGTTAGAATATGTAATTTTCAAATTAAATTCACAAAATTGCTACAGAAGAGAATATTTAAAGAGAAAAAATATCTAAGCACAGCAAATAATTCAATTTTTTTTAAAAATACATAGGCATTATTGAATAATAAATAATTTAAATAAAAAGTCAATTTTACGTCTGATTTATAAAAAAATTTTCAAATATTCAATATTGGCAAAAAAAAAAAAAAAAAAAAAAGTACAATTAAGTTTGGTTTTTGATCAATATTTGCTATATAATTGGCAAGAGGCTTTTAATTAGGCCATAGCTTCATCTTATAAAACAATTATTTTTAAAGGGAGCTACTGAGCAACAAAACAGACCCAATGTGATAAGACTCATGGCTGGATAGCTTTACATTTCAAAACATGAAGTTCTCCATATTTGGAATATTTGGTGCAACATGATCTTTCAAACACCATAGGAATGATGTTTAAAAGATCTACCACACACAATTTGGTCTTGTACTATATTAGACTGAGTTGTAAACATCAATAAAATTGGCCATAAGTGAAATTTAAATTCATAACTAATTTGGCTGCAGCTTATTCTGTATTCAAAATAACTCCAGAGTTTATTTTCTTCTGTTTTGCTTGTAGTTTTCACAAAGTTTATATTTATTTCAATGAAGTAAAAGAATATAAAATCAGTAACAATAAAGGGATTGATTCGTTTTTTTAAGGCTTATCAACCCTTTGCAGGTTAGTTGAAGTCAGAAAATATTTTTTTTCTTTCTTTGAGATAATGGTTTAGTCACACAAGTCTTACTAATTAACCTATAGCTGGGGGGAGAAGAGGCAGATTCATATCTTTCCCAAAAATATTTGCACATAAGTGAATATAATGAACCCAACAAGAATTGAAACTCGGCTCTCTGATTAACAATTCCAAGCCATTATCCATTAGATCAACCAGTACTCCCAAGCAGTCACCTATCTAGGTACTGATCAAGCTCAAGTTTGCTTAACTTTGGTGATCATACGGAAACCAATGTGGCTGTAAGCCTCGAATGCAAGCAGTAGTCTAAGCAACTCTTGAAATGACTTAAAACATGACCTATTAATATTTATGATAAGAATAACATGTTCATTCTCATATTGCTCTCAAACTTTACTGCTTGTTTTTTACACTTTCATTTTTTTTAAATGCAACTATCTTCCTAAATATTTTTATATTTGCAACAAAATGAATAAAAGATTTCTTTTTAATATTAATTCTACTCCTTTCAAAGACAATGTAAAAATTTAACTTGAATATTCAAAAATATATTATGCAAGCTTTTGTTATTTTTAGTTCAGAAATAAGAATTTGCACAAAACTTTTTCTTACTATTAATCCAATCACTAATTTTCACATTACAGTAATTTTATTTTTTAATTAGTAAAATTAGTTTTTTTTTCTATACTAAATTAAAAATATTAGTTAAAAAAATAAAACTTGTAAAAATATCTCTATTTGCCAGGAAGTCTAAAAATGAATAAATAAACAAACAAAAATCAGGAAAGCCAGAAGTCAACTTCATGTTACCATCATAAAAATCTTTGTTTTTATTAACTTATAGCAATAAAAGACAGAAAGTTATGGAAAGCTGTAATTGTGCACATCCTAAATTTTTTTTCTTTTATGCATGATTTGTTTCTATGAATGTCTATTCCTAATACTAAAGATTTTTATTTTTTAATTGTCTATAAATTTTACCTGGCAGCTCTATTGTTTTATAAAACAGTTCCTGATATATAAACTACTTTTTATTTCATATTGCACTATTTTTTTTCTTTGGTTTCCTCAAACATTTCAAACACCTCACACCAGAATAGTAGTGAGCAAACTAGCTGAATAGACCCACTGATACTGAGCCAGTTCAGTTCTCATTGAATACCATATTCATTGTGCTGTAATAATGTTATGTAATGTAATGAATTCTCTTAACAAGATTATAATTCATACATTATAAAACAAAATCATAATATTGAGACTTGAACTTTGAATTAGACCAGCTAATTCAGTTCGTTCCCATTTTTTATGTTCAGCACCTTAAGGTTTGCTGCAATTGCTTGAGATACTGGTTTAGTTACTCTTTGTAGAACTCAGTTAATAGTTCAAATCTATCTGCCAACTTTACCCTAAAGAAAGGGTTAATTAATGGAAAAATCAAGTTGCTTTTATTTATGTACAATCAAAACAGGACAAGATTAAGTAACATTGTCTTTAAGCAATAAGAAAATAGGGTTTTGCTGTTAACAGCCTGTTGAGATTTTCTAGCAGAGATTTCAACCTGGTCCATTCATTGATTTAGTACTGAAATGTAAGAACTTGGTTCCTGTTTATCCACCCATAGTAACACATTACAATAAGCAGACAGGTTTATAAAGAATGGAGATATTTCTTCAACAAATTTATTTTATATAACCTTCTTAGCAAATACAATAATTACACAATGAAGAAATTTCCATACATTGAAGGAATTTAACTTCTTTGATGAAACTTTAATTTGGCAACAATTAACAGCAAAACTAAGAAAAGTTCAGATTATTTTTTTTGGTTTTTTTGGTTTTTTTTCAATTTTGTGATGAGGAATTATTAGGTATTGCATGTAGTAAAATTATTTACACTCACTCATCCAAAAGAGAAATGATAAGTCTCAAACTTAACTTATCCTTCAAACTTTATTGCTCTTGCTATGAACTTAAACTTCACTTATGAACTGGTGAGTGTCTGGTGCTTTAAATAAATTTATCTTTGTCATAATTTATTTCAGGCTTGGCATCTAATTTATCCGCACGGCAGAAATTGTAAGTATTAAGCAAAAGTTTCACAATCAAGACTTTTTTTTTTTTTTTTTTTAAAACTCTTTAATTTATTGCCAGTTTTGGATGAGACGTTATGCCTTTTGTAGAAAATACTTTTAAAAATAGACACACATTTTGGACCATAGCATTTGCTCTAAGTCAGCAAGAAAAGCATATGAATTCTGGTTTGAGAAATGGCACACTCAAGTAACCAACTTAGACTTTTCCCATGAATTTTAGAACAGAGAAAATAATTTCCATGCTCATAGTTCTAATTCTGTGTATCTCTGTTTTTCTTAAAATTAAATAAGAAAACTTATCAATAAAGAGATAAAACTATTATTCCAGATGTGCTCAACCACACACTTATCTTGACTATTTTTTTGTTTTATTACAGTTGGCCTTTAAATACAAATCCTTTTTTTCAGATGACTGTCAATGAGAGTGACAATTTCATATATTTTTAAGCAATTATGCTAAAACTTTTCTGTCTTATTCCCCACCCACCTTTTGATTATCATCAGCTTGTTTATTTTTCTTTTTGGTTGTTTTGACAACATCATTCTCCACCCTTCTACCAGTAAAGTTTTTCCTAGGCATTGAAAGCAACAACAAACAAAAAAAAGATATGGGTAATCAAGATGGGAAAATTTCCAAAATTTATCAATGAAATGGTTTTTGTCTGTATTGAACATTTTTCCTAAAAAGAAATTTAAAGTGTTTCAGTGAAATACTAGAAGTTTGTGACTGTTATTTCCCTGGCTTGTAAGGGTATTGAAAAAAAAAATAAAATAAAGTAAAAATTACATGTTCTAAAAGAAAAAATTCAACAATGCTTTGGAAGTTTACATAGGTATACTAGCAGACATAACCATGTCTGCTAGTATACTTATAATCACTGAGAACAAATTCTTTAAAATTGGTTTAAAAATTAGTGATCATTTTGCAGCTAAGATCAGGATTTCAATAATTACAAAGATATCAAAGATATTGCCTGTTATATTTGTACAAGAAAAATGGAGCCATGTTGTTTGACAAAAAATTTTTTTTTAAATAATCAAGAGGTATCAATTTATGATTGCAAAGTACTTCAATTAGATGTTAATTAAAAATCCTGTTAATTTTGTATTCCTCCATTTTAGCAACTGTTCTGAAGTTTCATAACCTTGCAATGTTGAGAGGGTTTAACAAAAGAAAAATTAAATTTTATTTCCCTAGGAAACTTAAGACAAAAAATTTTGCATGAGCTAAAAAAAATTACTTATATGAATTTTAATCACTTCAAAGTGAAAATAAAATTCAAATAATACAAAACATGAAAATTGTCAATGCTTACTAGAAAATTAAACTTTGCATTTGAAGGAATTAGCTCACTTCTTCCCGACCCTCAATAAAAATGATAGATAACAAACATTTCTTTTATGTCTAAACAGTCACAAAGGTAGCACCAAAGAGCCTCAGTTCCTTTCTATTTGTAATAAATTTTACAGAAGATGAAAATTCCTAAGAAAAGCCTTAACTAAAAACCAGGTGTGCCATGAGTCAAACTGTAGTAGCAATAGCAATAAAGCTGGGATGTTTGCAAGGTTAGTGGTTGTGAAATGTCAACAACTGTACAGAATGGAAAATTTACATTGTAGGATTGGTGGAAAAAGAGAAGTAAGGAGAAAGGTAATTTTTTTTTTTTTTTTTTTTTCTGATGGTGTTGCTGTTTTTCTTCATGTCCTCTGCATCCTTTTGCTTTTTTTTTGTTTTATGTTAACCTTATCCTCCTCACCATTATTTTGGAAATCATTTCAATTAACTCTCTTGTCCAGTGGTAAGCAATGTTAGTGCCTTTTGAAGGTTTTCAATGGCTGTCTTGGAATCTTCATATTGCAAGGCACTGCTAGCAAACTTGCAAAACTTCATTGCCTTCTGGTAATCTTGGGTGGAAAGATGCACACCAGCTTAACAAAAAAAAAAAAAAAACATAATGAAAATTAATGAAGCTGGTAGACATTTGCATATACATGGATATAGTGGCTCAGATTCCCACTCAGAGGTTCATACCAACATGACTAATCTGATGTTTCCCTTCTCAAGCTTCTTTCCAATCAAGCAGAATTTATTGCATAGCATAATTACTGGAATTTGTGAAACAATTATATTTTGTCATTCATTCATTCAAATGAGGGAAAAAGTTACTTTTATCAAAGATTGATATTTAAAAAAAAAAAAAAAAAAAAAACTTTAACACTTTTCTTTTTCCTTTTTTTCTCTCTCCCTCATTAATGATATATTTTCATTGCTAAATAAATTTTAATTCCAAAAAATGTACAGGCTTCATCACTATTCTTTCTCTAAGAATGAAGATAAAAAGGTATGCATAAGGGTATATTTAAAAACTTTTGACCCGACTGTGATTTCTAAAGAAAAAAATTGTTAGTTGGTAATTTGGTCAGATTTTGGAAAATTAGATAAACTTTTCTCAACTACTTTAGTAAAAGATAAATTATGAACAGAAAGATAGTTTTACACCAATTTTTCTGCTTGCCTTGAAAATTGTCATTTTAAATCTTTGCTTTTAATTAGACTTGGACACCAACTAATGCTACTCATATGAAATCTGCAATTATTATGAACATAGACTGTAAAAGTTCCAAGCAATTTCCAAACAGCAATTCTTACACCAAGATGAATGGACTGGTGTTAGAAATATGGAGCACAAATGAAATTACTTAACAAAATGGAGAATCAGAAATGTTAGTCTTAATAGCATTACAGGAAATATCATTTTTAAATGAGTCTCTATCACATACAAGGTTCTATTAAACAATTTATTTCAAGGGACCTACTTGATATCTTAAACTGATCATTCAATAAAGATAATTCATCTCCTAATTTTGAATTAATTCAACCAGGCTCATCATTAACATTTGTTGTATCACCACTACTCACTATTATTAACATAAATTGAGTTTAATTAGTTATTTCAATCTAAAAGGTTAAAGGGAGATTAGATTTATTTTGTTTCCAAAGGTAATATAATACTTTATAATAAAATATCTCCATCTTTTCTATTTGGAAATGTTTAAAAGTACAGGGAAACTTTCACTTTAAAATCAACAAGACTCTTTCAATTTTGTCTACTTATCAAAAATATATAAGCACAATCCTACCTACTCAAACATTCTGGAAGTTTGGTTACCTATTCCTCTCTTTCAATTCACAATCAAAGTAACTTTATTTCTTTTATCTATGTTAAACCATTTAACATAATTAACAATTTTAATTAATAGTTTTAAACTAATATCTCATTTTGCTTTGTATGTGTGAAATTTGAATAATTTATTTCATGTTTATTTGTAGGTGTTCAAGCTGGGGCCCATAACGAAGTTAAAGCTGCAAGGAATATATGAAGAAGATTATTTTTTTTATATATCAAAAATTTATAATGTTTTATATAATGTTCCAAAACATTCAACCAGAGAATTACTAAGAGACTTCAATGGGACAATTGAAATTAATTCCCAAATGAAAGACTCCATAAATGGATTCATTCAAGTCAGATTTTGTTCATTAGTATGAAATTGTATCACTAATTGAAATTGTAGTGATGCGGGGAAACATCCACTAGGGAGTTTGTTCCATAGAGCAGTGGTTCGTTGGAAGAAGCTGTTTGAGTGGAACTTACTTCTCAACGATTGAATATGGAGGGAATGTGGGTGATTTGCTACTATATAAGTGGCATGGTGGGTCCTAGCCATGAAGGTCAAACCTGGTGAAACCAGGAGATGCAGTCTGCCCGAGCACTTTCCATGGCAGTAGCAATAGAGCAGTGAGAGGCTTGCAACATCCTGCCTGTGAGAAAGAGGTTGGAGTTTGAAAAATAATTTTTCTCCCACAAGGACTCTGAGACACTTCTGAACTCTATCAAGACTGGAAACTGAGCTCTGGTCAGCTCCTGCCCAAATATGGCAACAGTATTCCATTTTCGACTTGATCTGGCTCTTATAAAGTTAAAGGATAGCATGAGGAGTCAGGTACTTAATGAAACAGTACAGGAAGCCAATCATTTTACCTGCATTTTTAGCAATGGATCATATATAGGCCAGATATGAGTCTAAGGCCCAATATCCTCTCGAGGCAAGGTGCCTTCTTGAGGGGTCATTCATTCATAACTGGCAGTTGGCCTCCTTGAGGGGTCATTCATTCATAACTGGCAGTTGGTTTGGTTTGTTGTGTTTTACGGCATATCAACCTCAATGGGTTATTTAATGCCGACAACTTTTTTCCTGGTAATATTTTGTTTTGTCAAATATCTATTTCTGGTAATATTTTTTTCCTGAAAAATGTATAGCTGGTAATATTTTGAAAAATGTATTACTGGTAATATTTTTTTTCTTCAAAAATTTATTTCTAATAATAAGTTTTACAAAGTATTTCTAGTATAAAAACCTACTTTTATACTTTTACAATGATTTTTACATCAGTTTCGGGGTTAACTATTTGCCCGTAGCTGGGACCCTAACAGGTGCTACCACCTGGGTCAGGGTGGACCTGGGAACACCAGCAATTAAGAGGTGATTCCAGGATGTTAGAAAAAGGTCGAAGAGGTTCACCTACAGTCCCATTGCATGGGGACTCGGGAGGGTTCTCCAATGATCTGGGTTAGTTCATATGTGATGGAGAAGTCTCTGCAATATCTGCCTTCCACATTGATTTTGTTAGAGTGGACTAACCACTCTTTGTGGTGAACATTGAAGTCATCACATATGGGAAATTTGGTAAGGATATTGTCAGCCCTTTCTGATATTTGATCAAAGATTACTAACCCTTCATCCTGAGGACAATACAGGGCAAAGACGATTGTAGTACTATGGATAAGTGCCATGCACAGACACATATACAGGAGATCAGGGTCCTCATTTTTTGTGTCCCTACCATAGGGAAGCCTGTCTTTGATGTTGACAGTGAACCCATGACCATGGCAATTTAGGTGGTTGTATTTTGTTATAATGGGTGAGTAACCCAGGATTGTGAGCCCCTACAATAGGATTCTAGCATTGATATCTGTTTAGACAGGAACAGGAGATCAAGTTTAGCCTGAAGAAAATGGAGTTCCACTTTTGGAAAGTTAGAATGTAGACTCCTTACATTGGTGTAAAAGATGGTATAACTGGGCTCTGCTTTTTTTTTTTTCTTTTTGCACATCGTTATTGACTAAACTCACATTAGGCTACAAATAGTGAAACACTCAGTGTTATTGTATTTAATTCTCACTATATGCAGGAAATTTGCTAACCATTGCATTACTGCTGGCAAATTATTTAATCATCTAACAATTGGCATAGAAGGTATGTTTGTTTAAGTATTAATATCTTATTTAGTGCATTACATTAAAGTCTGTTTTTAAAATGATTAAAAAAAATATTAAAAAAAAAAAAAATTGTAAAAGCCAGAGTAACCAGATAAATTTCATGACATACCTGGATTTTCTGGAGGTTTCCAAGGTGTGTACATTGATGCTGCTGGGACGGTGGTCGAATTGTTGCCATGGACACTGTCCTGTGGAGTGGTTGGGGGTGCCATGGAGCCAGAGGGTGGTTTTTGCAATCGATCTGGTTGCTGGCTGGAAGGACCATTTGGATGGAAGTTCATAGAATTGGGGTTGTAAGAAGTAGAGGGTTGTAAACCATCAAAGTTAGGCTGCATGGCACCACCAAAGCCAATTTGTGGAGGAATATTAATAGATGGCATGGAACCTTTAAAAAAAGAAAAATAATAATAATAACGCTAAATCAATAAATTCAAGAAAAACTATTTGTTAATGATAAAACTCATCCATTTTCTGAAGTTCTGAGTTATCCATGAATTATTCAAACAAATATCTTCATCTGTATTGTTACAATCTGAAACATTACTCAAACGAACATCTTCACATTTGTTGTTTTGATTGTTGGGTTTTAGTTGTAAAATATACAGTGCAAGACACATTGTTTCCATTTGCTCTGTGAAGAAGTGAAGATTCTGAATAAAAATGCTCTAAGATGACAGCATTCTATTTACATCAGATGAAAATGAAAGAACTCATTGATGATCAAAACAAGGATGAGGCTGCTGGTTTTGAAAATTCAGAAAATAATTAAAATATCTTTCATTTTATTAGATTGTCAAAAGTAATTTCCGTTTTTGGAAACATATATTATTGATGAATGTATTCGCCTAATTAGATGTGGCAACTAAGAATATATTTAAAGTACACTAACATAGTTTTTTTTCTAAGGCAGTACACAGTAGATTAAAGAAAAAAAATGTTTTCCATGACAACACAAGGTGGCAAAGTGCAGCAAGAATAACACAGGAAAACATTTTGGAACTCAGTTGGTCTGTTCTACCCATTTGTCATATTCATCTGACCTTGGAGCAACTAATTATTAGCATTTTTGATCGATCGGTGGGAAACTTTCTCTAATGAAATCCAGATTCAAAAGTTCTAAAAAATTTTCACATCAAAATTTGAAGTTTTTATTTGAATGGTATTGAATAGCTTCCTGATAAATGGCAACATGTTATTGAAAATATATGAATGTAAAAGTACTTTATTTTTTGATGAATTAAGTTGACAAACAAAAAAGTTGACAAACAAAAGTGAGAATTATTTATGACTTAACTCAATAGAAATGGCAATCCTACACTTGAGATCAAACCTAAAACTTCCCAGTCAAAAGTTGTAATGCAAAAATCAACACACACACGTGTATGGATTGCACCAAAAATAATACCTTCTATTTTCTTATATTGATGGGATCACAGTAGAGGCTGGACTTTCCTTGCCAATAAACTTTTCTTTCTTTTTTTTTTCTTTGGGCCTTACAAATAGCATCTGATATTAAAACGTGTACAAAGTAAAAGTTTCATTGAATTCTTTCATGCAAAATAAATTACAACCATTCCAGTGGTGCCAACAGTGATTTGTAAGAACACACATTTCAGGAAGCCCTGCACAGCTGAGCCAATGCTGGTAACTAAGCAGAAAAATAGTGTTTTATACTTTAAATAAATTGCTCTATACAGTAGTGTAATTGTGCACCATATATTTGCTGTAGTTTCCATGAAAATAAGTATTTGGAGCATGTCAGTTTTGTTAGCACTCTGCATTATTAATATTACTTCTCTTTTCAATTCATTCTTTTTCAAGGTCTGTCAGTTGCAGTACCTTTATTGTTAATTTCACTCAAAGTTGTTTTCTGTTGCCATAGCAGGATATGACAACACAACTATGAAATTCAAACAAATTCAAATTCAGGCATCAGTGGCAGGACAAACTTTTTGTACAGCAAATTAAGTCACATACAGAGTGATAAAAGTTAATGTCATCACACTAAACCAAACCTCAAAATTAAGAGAAAATTGTTCTGATTTGAATCTCTGACCAGGAGACAAGCAAACAAATGGCATAGCAATACACAAGCACACAGCTGCTGAAATATTTGATGAAAATTTGCTTTGGAATACAATCCTAGATTTTCTCTTTTAGTTTTTAACATTTGTATTTATCTCTATGAATCATATTGATATTATTTTTATTTCTCTTTCCCTCCAAATAAAATCAATGCATTAAAAAGAAAAAAAAAATGAAAACTAAATTTTCTCTTTTCTTTAAATTTTAATTACATTTTAAAAAGATATTCATTTCAATAAGCTTCTCTTTTTTTTTCTTTTTTTTTTGCATAAACCTAAAATATTCCAGTTTTATTCCAAAAGTTTACTTATGAAAATATTTTTTATATATATATATTTGTGTTTTGAATGAATACAATCTTCATTTCTTTGAGAAAATATTTATTTATTTCATTTTTTAATGTTTTTTTTTTTTTTATATAGGGTTCAATTTACATATATGATAAACTACACCCTGTCTAAAGTTATTAAGTAAATTATATGAACTTCAATAATTCAAATTTGGTTTTTAAACAATTAATTTTGATGTCAAAACAAAGCCCAGGTTAAAATTTTAAGTAGTATCAATATGTGTTTTATTGAAGTTATTTGGTGTATTCTAAAAAAAAAAACTGATATCTGAAGTCATAAGGCAAAACCAAATAATCATATTTTACTTCAAGGTAATAAAATCATAAAAAGTTGATCAACACCTAATAGAATAACAAACATACAAGTCTTTGAATCCTTTACATTTTACATAATATAGTGACCCTTCTTCTAATGTATTATCTATTGATTTTGTTTATTTTTTTTTTTTTTTTTTACTTCAGCAGGTTCAATTTCCGATATGGTAGTTTTAATTGCTTCCCATACGTCTGCTTTGTTTTATAATTTTTGCCACCTTCATATAATTTCATCTTTACAATTGACCATAGATATTTGATCAGATCTAGATCAAGACTTGATGGTGGCTATTCCATTATCTTCTCTCCTGTAAATCTTTTATGCTCAAATAATTCATGAGTAAGCCTAGATACATGAGAAGGAGCATTGTCGTGCATAAAGACACAAATCACTTTGAGACTGGGATTTGTGCCTTACTTGTAGAAAAGACAGAGGGAAGCCACAGCACATCTGTGAGTAAGCAATTGTAGACTAAATGCCAGATCACATTGCATATTCGTCTCTGGATTTTGTCAAGCCACTTTACATGCACATGTGCACTTCCACTTAGAATATCCAAAAGAAATGAAGGTTATTTTCATAAAGAACAAAACCTACATCAGAAAAGATAAAATTATACACTCATCCAAATCTAAAAAAAAAAAAAATACTTTCAAAAACATGATTTGTTCATTTTATCCATTTTAAAAAATCATCTCATAAAAATTCAAATATATCCAATAAATATTAAATACTAAGTGTGTATATGCGTTTTTTTCTGAATGTTCTGACCAACATTTTATGTAGCCATTCTTACGAAAAGACCTAAACAAACAAATCAAAGAATCACTCTTTAACCAAATAAATCATAATCTAAAAACTAAAAGAAGAAAAAATAAGTACCGTTTTCATCTTCTTCAGGAAGAGGCCCAGCTATAGGAGTCTCGCCACTTTTTAGGCATTTATGTATGTAGGCAGCTTTCCACTTGGCATACTTTTTATTTTTCTCAATCTGAAAATTAAATGAGAAGTCAGTTTTCTGAAAACTAGAAGACAGATACAACAAAAATTGAAATATGAAGAAAACACAAAAAGTTGGCCAAAAAAAAAAAAAAAAAAAAAAAGTATTTATTTTTTTTTATATATACTAGATGTATTAGGTTGCTGCAAATGTTTCCAGTAATTTTTGACAAAATCATTATAAAATTATTATTCAAGAATCCAGTATTTTCCCCAGCTTTCTTTGACTATATATGCCCCTTTTCATATAAACTATGCATTCCATCATAAACAAATATTCCCAGCCTTGAGTCAGTTAATTTAGAAATTTTTCAATTTCTGCAAAATATTGGCACTGCTGACTAAAAAAAGTGACAGGTCTGGAGAATTCATGGCATGTTTTTTTCAATCACTTCACCCCAAGCAAGGTGATAAAGTCACTAAAATGCAAGTGATTACTGAATGTGAAAGAATCTGAGAAAAAAATCATTAAGGAGAAAGGACAATATAACAGGAAGCATTAAGAAAACAAAAGATAACAATTGACATTGCATTAAAATTTTTTGAAGATCACAACTGATTGGTAAGCAAGAAGCCAGAATAAAGTTCGACAAGTGAGAAGTGCAAGAGAAGAAACTGTTAGCATAGAACTTACAGTTACATCTAGCAATTTCAACTGTAAAACGAAATTTAGCTACCAATCTAGTACTGCACTTAAATTCATAAAGTTGAGGTACCGATAAGGAAAGTTCATCAGAACAATGTTGGTACAACTGGAAAAAAAAAGTGACTCCTGTGGGCTATAGCAGCTGAACAGGCAGATGTAAATCAAGAAGGTTGTGGTTGCATCCGATATTTCCAAGGAGGCATAAAAGCATCAATACCAGCTTTTACCCAAAAAGAAACCTCAGTGGCACAATTCTCAACAAGAAGGTTAAACATTTCACTCCAAGTGATGATGTGAAGAAAATCATGAAATGAATCCAATTGGTACACTGCTAATAGAAAGAAGTCTTGTGAATAGATGGTTCATGTCTCATATACAGAATAAAACAGATACTACAGCATGATTTGAATTGCCAAGATAACAAAGGGTCAGGAGAGGAGGTAAGCAAAACAGAATTATAAGGGAAATGAGTACTATACTATTTGACTGAGAGAAAAATTGAAAGCCTCAATACTGGCAACATCAGTAACATTAAAATGATTAAGTCACTTGAAAAGATGAGCATTATAAAGATGTTCACAGATGAATGTAGAAAGAGAGTCACTTTTATACTATCAGATATTTTGTTTAATATATTACAATCCTGAGAAGATGGAGAGCAATGAAAGAAAAAAGAGATAGCTAACAGAGTGCAATAAAGAAAGTCAAAAGCACATGAAAGAATTATGTTTGAACTCAAGAGACAATTCTCTTGCTATTGGAGGAGTGTAAACACAAAGGTCATGAATATATGTATCCTAGAATCTTCTTGTCAAGGAGGAAGAGAGCACAGAACAGAGAATTCATTAATAGTGACAGAAGAGTTTAAATTAGTTTCAGATTTCTGGATAACTTTTCAAGAGAAAAGATTATACACTACAGAAATTGGTACAAATATATTTCTTTTAATTCTATCTTGAGCAGATTATTTTAATTTTTAAAGAGAAAAAGGCCAAAATAATTATAATTGTCTATGGTAATACAAAATGGACAGAAAGTGACTAAAACTAAAGAATAATGTGGTCTCAAGTTTGCCTATTGAATGCAGGGACACCTATCCATGTATGAAATGGTACTGCAAATACCTCAAAATTTACCAGAGTAGCTTATCTAAGCACTACCAAAGAGTTCTGGCTCCTTGCTACCATTTGGTATACAGCAAACAGACCACTGCCAACCTGATCACCAAAAAGCTAAGACAGTTAAATTATTAAGGCCATGGACAAAAAGCAACTAGTAAACCACCTCCTAATCAGGAAACAAGGAATAAAGCTACTTCTGTTCAATAAAGTATAGGCCAGGCAATAGGCAAAAATATATATTCCTACTAACCTATTCACAACACAGGAGGCTGAGTGCTTTTATCAAGACACTGTCTCTAGGGAGGTTGCTGAACAAGACTCTAAATCTCTTCCAGGCCGGGGGGGGGGTATTAAATTACTAAAACCTCTGAAGTTTATTGAAGGAATTGAGATTTAAGGAACTTAGCTTAAAAATAGATCACTTGAATTTCATGTACAAGATTCAAGTTAAAATTAATTCAAGTTTTAACTTTGTCAAAGTCAAAGAAAAAAAATAAAGAGAAAATGACTGAATTCCAGCCTTTATAAGAAGCTCATTTAACTTTTATTTTCATTAAAAAATAACTTTCATCAAAAGACTTCATACCTTAAAGCATTTCAAAGTGAAATTGGCTCAGTTGATCTGACATAATATACAATATTAATCTATAGCAGTATATATATTTACCTATATATCAATTTATTAATTTTAACTGATGTCAGAATAAACAAATAGTCATCTGATATACAATTATAATTTATTAATAATAATAGGAATAAAGAAATAAAATAAAATTCTATATTATATATATAAGGCCAATTCTGTTGTTGTTGTTGTTAAAATTGTTTGAATGTTAATAGAAAATAATCAGTTATACAGAATGAAAAGTAAAAATAAACAATGCAAAATAAAATTCAGGAGTACAATCAGTACTCGTATATATTCAAATATATCTCATTTTCCTTAAAAATGCTACATTGGTACCTAAATTAAACAAAGCCAGTCATTCATGCTAATATATAAATAAATAATAAATATAATAATGTAATGTATTTGGAGAGGGGCTTAGTTTCTGTAAAAATGGAATGGCCTACTTAAAACAGAAATTTTCTTTTTACTTAACAACTGAGCCATTTTGGAATGGCTAAAAATTTTGATCTGATGAATAAAATAATAAGCAAAAATGAAAGTGAAAAATGCTCCTAAAATTAATTTCCTTTTGCAAATATAGCTCAACTATCTCTATTATTACATGCTTACCTCTTCATCAGTTTCCCCAAAAACAGAGAGAGCATCAAACAACAACCCAGCAGTGAAAAAGGACTTTACAACATTTCTGGAAAGAAAGAGACAAATAGATTAAACAAAGAATAAATAATAAAAAAAATATCCTTCCATACAGATGACAAAAGAAAAAAAAAATGATGACCTGATTGTAAACTTTATTTGTTATAAGAGAGATTTAATTCCTTTGAAATATAACTCTAATGAAAGTTTAATGTTTATATTTTCAAAATTAAAAAAAAAAATTAATAATTTAGCTTACATTTTCCAAGAGAATACATCATCTTAACAGTTTCAGAAAGAAAATTCAAACAAATAATATAACCAAAATATTAAAGTTTGGTGGTCAAATTATTTATAAAGGTATTTATTTTATTTATGATCAGCAGTTTTTTTACCACAATATAAAATCCAAATTACTGAGTTTATAATTTGATCTTGCCTTTTACAGATTTTTACAAAATATGACATAACATCAAAACTTTTATTCACCCTAATAATTACAATAATTGTGGTCATATTTTAATGCTAACTGCATCTGAGCTTGGTATTCATAGACAAGTGTTTTGGCTTTTCTTATCCCTGTCTACTAAATTTCTTAGTACTCCACTACTTGTTTTATAGTAGGGATTTTCTGTACCTATGAACTAAATATTTCTGATAGTAAAGAAAATAATTGGATGATTAAGCACAAGATTTTTAAATTTATGAACCAAAATTATGTTTTAAAGAAGTTGTGGCATTCAATCTCTATGCTATACATTGAGAATTTGTAATAAAAGGTATTGTCAGGAATTAAGGCAAGAATTACTGACAGACAGAATTGGCTCTTTTATGTGTAATAATTACATAAAGCCTATAATATCTAAGCCTTTTATATTTCTGTCATCTTTTGATTGGAATATGAATATATTCTTATTCTAAAAAATATATGGAGAAAAAAGGAAAAAGAAAAACTAACTTGTCAAATTCGCCAGCTCTGTCTTTGTTATCAGCATAGAGAAACAATTTCAAGGCATAGTTTTCCAAATGAGCCTGACCCACTGTTTCAGATTGAATGGCATCATTGTCAGCTAAACTAGCTTTCATCTGAAGAAAAAAATAAAACAACACAGATAAAAGCTAAAGATATTATTTCTTCATAATTTAAATGCAGTAAAGTGGCAACTGCTTAAATAAAAATATTAAATAGTATTATTACAATTGCATAAGGGAAAATTACCAATCAGACATGATATAAATAAGAGAAAAATTGTACATTATGTTGAATAGTGAGTGAGAAGAATCTTATGAGGTAAATCCAATTAAAACAGACAATTTTGGCAACATACACAAAGTTTATCATTAATGTAGAATATAACAATAAGAAAATGACATAGTAATAGCAGTAGTAAGCTTATACAAACTCTGAAAAACAAGGTTTGATTGGAATGTTGTTTTATAGTATAACCTTTTCTAGGTTATTTAATGCCAAATTCTGTTGTTTTGAATAAGTTTGGTTTGCTAAAGTCAAAATAGTAGTCATGGGTACAGTAAACAGTCTCTTTTTGGGGAGGAGTAACAGAGATACAGTCAGTGTATTCTTAACCCAAACTAACAGAATAATAAAAAAAAAAAAAAGAGCAGTATAACGTTTATATCCTAAGGAACAAAAACATTTTCCACCTAATAAAGAGGACATATTTCTAAAACACAAGCTGATTAAATTTCAAATTAGAAAATAATAAACTAAACATTTCATTTGAACAGTTTTCATGACATGCAATTACATATGAATAATGTTGCATAGAATGAAAAAGGAAACATTTGACACATAACAGATAAAGAAGCAAAATCATTAAGGGTCTTTGACACTGAAAGTGTTAAGAATAAATCAAATCCTATATGAGGGCATAAATTTGATTGGTATATAAACAACTGGGAATTAGAATAAATTGAGATAATAAATTTTGTCAAATATATATTTCAATAAAATTTTAGCTTCTTTATAATACATAGAAAACATCATTGATAAGGGAAAACTTTCTACTTTTGGTTAGATTACTTTAATATGCTTCTATATTTTCAAATGTGAAACCTTCTACATATCAATGCCATTTTAAAATGTCTTATGTGCTAAGATTAAAATAAAGTAGGTCATATTTTTTTCTTCTTATCTTAAACCTTTGAATTGTTCTTAGCTTACAAAATGTCCAAAATAAAATCAATAAAGTTTCTATAAAAATTTTTCTTCCTGATTTTCATAAATACCAAGTTTATGAATTTCATAATTTCAAATTTTTTGTTTTCAGAGTATGTGAAGAAGACACATGAAATATGTTTTCAAATTTTTGTAACTACTGAAATGAAATTAATAAATTTAAACTGCTGTAAAGATTATTCACAAGAAAAATATTATTGAACAGGAAATAAAAAAAGTTGATTTCTTTCAAAATGGAAGAGAATTTTTCATGATACATACAAAATTGTCAAAAAATTAGACATTCCTTGACAAAAAATATTCAATCATATGAACAGGATTCATAAAATTTAGATCATTGAAAAAAATCATAATAAATCTAATATAAACATTATTTTCTTACATTTTATAAAGATAAAATTGTTTAAATTTATGTTTACATTTACAAACAGTAACACTTGCAAAAAATCAAATTGAAAAATTTTTTCAACTTTCACCAAATAAAAAAAAATTACTAAAATCAAATAATGGAAATTTTAATAAAACTTTTGGTATTTATTCATTATTGAAGTTTATGATGAAATGGTTACTTTCTTTAAAAACATAATAGAAAGATATTTTTGATATAAGTATCTCTTCTTATTATTTATGATATCTCAATAAACATCAATCCAAACCTAAAGCTATTTTATTGCAAAAAGATAATCCCCAATGAATTTAAATCAGTTTAATTTTTTTCTGAAAATAATCTGAGGTTGAATCTAAAAATTTTAAATTCTAATATAAGCTAAAATACTGATTTCTTAGCAACTTTTTAGGCTTATAAATTAAAATATTTTATCGGCTTACTGTGAGTAAAAAGGCAAAAAAAAAAACATTTTAATCTTTTTTTTAACTTTAAAAGAATTTGATTGATTTTAAAGATATTTTTTTTATATTTAAGTTCCTCTGAAACAGATGTTTTCATATAATAATGATGTTTACATAATAAATGTAAGAATTATCCAAAAATAGTAAACTGCTGTATTTTTATCATTTTTAAAACTGTGTTAATTAGTTAATGAAATGTTATGCAATCAGCATAGATAGAAGCTATCTTCCACGACCCATCATGTAATTAAAAAATTGGCAAAAAAAAATTGTCGACAACAAATGCAGAATCTTCTCCCTTGAAGATGATTTGATGAAATGTAGTTTATGTTCATTACAGATCAAATAAATTAAGTACCAAAACAAATTTCATACTTTTTACTTATAAAAAAAAATATATTTTCTAGACAGGTGTTTTACCTGTCAGCTTAACCTGTATTAATAATTTGGAAAAACTCTTCCTTTACTTCTATCAATCAACTGTAAGTCATAAAAAAGGTTGATTCCAATGATTTTCAGGCTACCAAAATAATACAGTGGCCATAAGAGTTATACACCTCTTTTCAATATATATATATATATATATATATATATATATATATATAAAATGCATGTCAGTTTGTTAATTATCTAATATTGACATGCAGCTGATTTTGTCATTTGTTCATGAGAAATGCATGAATTTAAACTTTTGATCACGAGGTGTTCAAAGAAACAAATGTATTTTGCAATATATTAAAAAATAAAAAGTAAATAATATTTTGCTGAAATCCAATAAAATAATTGTTAAATAAAACAATAGCTATTGAATTTGTTTTATGGTCAGCTACATTTTCATTGCTGGTTGCTTAATTTGATATTCAAAAACATATTGATTTAAAAACAATCTAAAAGTTATTTAGTGTACACAAAAGTACTTTTTTCCTTTTTTAATGACTAATGCTATTTTCTTGTAATTAAAAGCAAAATTAAACATTAAAAAATATTTAAATAATTGCAATTCATTTTAAATTTTTAATTAATAAGTCCAGTCATAACTAATACAAGGAATGTCCAAAAAGTAAGTTACAGATATAAAACATGCTCATTACTATACAAATGCCTATGTTACCAGGATAACTATATGCCCTTTACACAAAAGTCACCATCAAAATTATCACGATTGTCTTTTCAGTACAAGAGCATATAAATACCCTCCTTGAAGTGACTGAAACTATACTTGCACCTCTGCAGCAGCAGCATCTGTGTGTAACCACTTTCAAGATAAACATTGTCTACACTGCTCTAAGAGGTTATAACCTGAGGGAGAAAGTCAAGACTATGTGGTGGATGCGGTATTACAACCATATCACAGGAGTCACTTTGTTGGATGTGTGGAGTGACATTGTTTTGTAGCAGGATAACCAATAAAGGTCTTGATCTTTTCTGATGAACAGCTACCCTCAGTCTGTTCAGTGTTTCACAGTATCTGACTTAATTGTCTGATCATGTGGTATGAAAACCACAAACAGCACACCTTTTGCATTCTACAAGAATACAGTTGCCATCAATTTCTTGGGTAATTTGGGAGTTTCATTATGATGTATGATTCCAGTTCTGGAATCAACCTTGGTCTCAAGAGTTACATTATGCACTCAGGCCTTATCAATGTGCTCCATTCCAAAAGCTGAAACTTGTTTTCTTCTTTGGGATTCAAAGTTAGATTTTTGCCCTCAGCATGCAAAAATCTATAATCCTTTACACCTCTATGCTTATCCACTGCTTGATGGTAGCAGTCATCATTGCTGTGGAATCACATCTGCATACACTCAACATTAAGGCTGGGTTGTTCTGGCTGCTACAAGAAGCATTGCATACCCATTGTTGATTTGTATTGATAGCTTCCAAAATGTTATAATTCTGGTCAATTTATACCAGTCAGTATCTTACTCTTCAGACATCCCTCATAAAAAAAAAGAAAGAAAGCATCTCTTCTTATTAAATTAAATCATTATATATATTTTGCTTTTACTCAGAACAAAGATATTTCTCATAAGAATCTCATCAGCTGTAAATATATAACAAAACCCTGAACAAGCTTTCAACTGATCAACCAGGAGTAGGCCACATTGCATCTCCATTCTCATTTGTATCAGTGCACACTAAAAACTGGGAAAGGCCTGCTGCAAGATCACATGGGAACAAAAGATGAAAACAAATACCACATTGAGAAACAAAAACTCAAACCCGCTTTCCAATATATTTAGGTGTTTTTATTCGGGGCTTCTCTTATCTCAGACTAATAGAATGGCTTTCCCCTTTGACTCTTCCTCCTACCAATTTTCTGCTCATCTCAACATCATGATGCATAGCTGACAACATAACAGGTTGCATCAGATCTACCTTAGGGACAGTTTGTACCCTGACAAATGCAAACCAGAACTGACTACCTCAATCCCAACTATAACTGGAAATTCTCAATGTCAGGCTTTCTTTTATTTATTTATTTATTCGCTTGTTCCCTTTCAGTCAAATGGATGCCACTTAGAAGACCCAACTTCAAAGATTTTATCCACCAGCCATAAGACAGAAAACAAGATGGAAATAAAAATGACACCTTCTTCTACATTAGTGTCCCTATCATAGTGTCACACAGCCAGTTCTAAGAAATCAATTAAATTTGGAAAGTGGAAAAGATTATCTACAAGCTTGATTTTATTAGAAATTAGAATAATGTTTTTTCTTTCAAGTCAAAATCAGATATTTCTAAGACAAGCAGTTATAGATTATTTAGTAGAAAAGTACCAATCAGTCAAGTCAAAGTCAAGATCCAGAGCTTTGATTAAAACTGCTGCAGGTTTCCCAGTGACTGAGATAGGCAGCAGTCAGCTAGTCTTTACTCCTCCTTTTCAAACATCTCTGTCAAGTGGGCTAACGTGTGCAAGGCCACACTCCCAAACATCCCTCCCAATGCAGTCCTTCCACGTCTTCTTAGTTCTACCTCGGTCTCTGTGATCAGGAACCCTGAACTCCAAGACAGTCCTAATGCATGATGAAGCTTGTTGGGCATTAACAAACCATCTAAGATGATGAGTGTGTAGTACTGATGTCATATCCTCAATACCGAGCCTTAACAATTTGGATGAGGGGTGTTTCATACTGAGGCTTGCTGATGCCATAGATCCAGCAAATCATTGAGCAGTCATTGTGGCAGAGCTGCCACAAACCAACACATTTGGTGCCCAAGTCTCATTGCCAGGGATCAGTGCAGTTCACACACATGCAGAGAACAATTTGCCATGAATTCTCAATGATACATGTTTGTATGTGAAAATGGGTAGGAGCTTTTTGGATTTCCCCCAAGCCACAGAGCACCTGGTTATAATGGCGAGCTCACAACATCCACCTGCACAAAGTATATCCCCAACATAACAGAAACAGGGCTCAATATCCATTTTTGAACCCTCCAAAGTGACTTGGGCAGTGGGCCTGCCATCAACAGTGCACACTTCACCACATCTAGGGCAGATGTTATCTGGTAGTTCTGTTAGCCTACCAGTGATGCCACTGCATTTCTTGTGCACCCAGGTGTTGCATTTGGAGCACAAGATAGAATTCATACTCACTCCACTGCAGCAGACAGCACAGATTCCTGCAACTCATCCAGGTCAACACCAGAAATCATAAACTTGGTCTTTTTCATGTTGACACAGAGTCCCTTGCTCTCCATGCCCATCTTCCAGGTTTTCATCCTGACAACACATTAATCCAGTGTCAGCGATTAATACAAGGTCATCAGCATATAGAAGTTTCCATGGTACTCCAGTGCAGAGAGAGAGAGAGAGTGCCTCTAACATGAGAATGAAGAGCCGTGGACTCAAGACTAAGCCTTGATGAACACCAACATCAAACTCCCTGCTATACTGGCTATAAACTCTAACTCCAGGCATTGCAGTACATGCCCTAAACCACATGAATAGTCCAATCCACAACTCCAAGGTTTCTCATGGCCCTCTAGATCACTTTTCTTGGAACACCATCAAATGCCTTCTCCAGATCCACAAAGGCAAAGACGAGAGGTTTCACATCAGCGATGAATTTCTCCTGCAGCTGACATACAATGGAAATTGCGTCTATGTTGCTCTCCCTGGCACAAAAACATACTGCATTTCATCAATGTTGACCATTTATTTGATGTCAGAGTCAAACATACATTCCAGCAGTTTCATTACTTGATCAGTGAGATTGAGGCCTCTGTAGTTGCCTCTGTCCAAGGCATCACCCTTGCCCTTGTAGAAGTGGAAAATGAAGCTCTCCTCCCACTTGGGATCACCCCACTACTGAAAACCGATTCCATATATAACCTAAGCATTTCAATGCCTTTATCACCAGATGTTTTAAGCATTTCAGCAACAACATCAGATGGGCCAGATGCCTTTCCATACTTCACCTTCTTGACCACTATATCAATCAGTGCTGATGTTAAAAATGGAAATGGAGGAGGACCAGCAACTGGTGCAACTTCAGGGAGCGTATGACTAGGCCAGTCAAACTCAACATTTAGCAACCTGCTATAATGTTCAGTTTCACTTTAGCAACAAAACTCTGCCTCATGAGAGCCTTGTAGGTCCTGTAGTGTGACCTTTTCTTAGTATCATCAACTTGGCCATTCCACCACCTGGTCTCCAGTTTCCACTGATGGTTCTTGGAGGTGCCACATACCTCACCAGCTGCCTCCAGCAATGGTGTCTTTAGCTTTGACCAGATGTCTTCCACATTTGGTACAGTCTGCAAGGTCTCCAATTAAGTACTGTAGACTGTTTGGAACTCATTTGCAATAGTCGGATCGCGAAGCCTCCAGTTTCAAGTCATGGTTTGAACTTGTGCTTCCTGAGTTTTGGTATAGAAACTTTAAAGTTGCAAACTAGCAGGTGATGTTGCAATGCACACTCCTTGCCAATTATAACTGACATCCAGGACCAACTTGCAGAAGCTTTTGCAATATAGGATATGTCCTGGGTATGACAATAAATTACATCCAGCAGCAAGGCTTGAGGAGTGTGGAACCGCATCTTAATTGCTGTTGTTCCCAGGTCCACTCTGAGCCAGGCTGGTAGCACCTGTTAGGGTCAAAGCTATGAGCAAATATTTGTCCACCCCAGACTCACTGGAGTCAAACACAAAGGTGTTAAGAAAAATAAAAAAGTACATTTTATAGTGAAATATAATTGTCCTACCCGTGGTGCCCCTGTTTAGTTCCTGAAAACAACAGATTTAGAGGAATAAACCTTGAAATAACTCTTGGTTTAGCAGATAATCCACTCCATGTGGACAACAGTGAGGCACACAACCCAGGTGTATAAATGGAGGATTTCTCAAATATTGCAAAGATTTGATTTGGGATGATTACTAGGACAAGCAATCCCATGAAAACTTTGAAAGCAATAATATTATAGCTAGTTCTCTTACAAAATCAATGATAGGTAGTACTGGTAATAGTTCCAGTAGCTGACTCTTGGCTGCAGAGGGAGGGGGGGTCTATCATGGCAAATCCAGCAACCAACCAACCAAGTTCAGGGTTGCCTCACTTAATGTGGGTACCCTGAAAAGAAGAAGCAGTGAGGTGATGGAAACCACCACTAGGAGGAGAGTAGATATGTTTCTGTTCAGGAGCATAGATGGTTGAGAGGACTGGAGGCCAATCAGACCCGTCTTCTGAAAGGCAAGAGCCCCACTATAAGTTCTTCTGGTGTGGAAACAAGGATGGACAAGGTGGTGCCAGTATTCTGCTGTCTGAAAAATGGTGGTGAAGGTCCTTGATGTCCAATGGATCTCTGATGGAACCCTACTATTGAGATTGATTGTGAGCAGGACTGTTATCATGTTTCTCTCTATGTGCTGCAAGTCAGTCATTCTAACACAGAAAAGGAGCACTTCTATGACCAGTTGCAGAGCCTGGTTGCTGGAGTTCCCTAATCAGAGATTCTCATACCAATGAGAACATAATTATTAAACAAAATATTAAACATATTTCTATTTTAATGATAAAAATTGAGAACAAGCTGTTTAGCTAGAATTTCTGGGATCTACAAATTCATCACTGTTTAATGAATTACAAACATAGATCATATACCAGTGTCAGACATTGTTGCCACAATAGGTGTCAGACTAAATTCTAAAACTGTACTATTTTTATATTCCTCTATCAAGTCAAATACTTTGAAAAATTTACTCTTTAATTTTGTATGTTCACAGATACATTGCTCTATTCATGGTTACTGCAATCACATGAAGGAACTGAGTACGAATGAAAAAAAAATATCCCCAAATCATAAAATCTCCACTTCCATGATCTATTGTAGGATTTGTGGTGCTTCTCATTTTCTCTTTTTTTAAAATCAAAAGTTCATCCATCTTTTCTCCATATGTGATGAGTTGTAGCCAAAAAGTTCAATTTTCACTTCAGCCAAAAATTATTTGGCTTCTTTAAATGCCCCATTGCCATTTTTTTCTTTTTTAATAAGTTGCTTGTAAAGATATTTCTTATAGATCATCAAACTTAGGATAGTTTTGATGCTAAACTTGTTCCACATCAGAATAATTGATGTATTGGTACAAGTCTATTTAACATCTTGGCAATGGTCCTATTGCTTAATTACATCATTCTTTATTTTGGTTGAGAGACTTTAATCATAACAGCCACGTTGCAAGATTGATTGATTTGTATTTTTTATGGCTCATATCAACCTTTGTGGGTTATTTAAAGCCAAAACATATTTTGGATTGTAATAATAATTTTTTTTTTTTTTTTTGTGAGTAAATTTTGCATTAGCTATTTTTGAGAATAACAATGATTTTTCCAGATACAAGCCCTACTACTTAACCCATAGGTGGAAAGTTAATCATATGCAGCTGCTATAGAATCAGTAAAGCTTTCACTGTGACTTACAGTTAAATATATACAATATTCAAAACAAATATTCCTGCAAATATTTATCCAGTCCAAGATTCAAAGACTCTATGAACTGACATATTTTCATAAAATGTGCAAATCCCCATTATTCTTCACCAAAGAATCTGAAGCTGTGATGTGAGCAAAGGAGAAAATTTGCTTAAACAAGCAAGAGTTGGACATATACAAGTACCAAAATTGTAATGGGCCAATAAGACCAGAGATGAAAGAATAATTAATGATCTTACCTGTTCTTGCACATCCATAAGAGACATCAAAAAGGTCCTACAGTCAGGAGATTTCTTATCAATCTCCATTGCTCTTTGCAGGGCATAGAGGCGACCTTATACAGAAAAAAAAGTGAAGTTATTTTTAAAAATGTGAGAATTGGTTGGGTGGTTTGTTGGTTGGTTGGTTTTGTTTACCAGCATATCAACCTCTATGGATTATTTAATACCAAAACTGAAATAGTTTGTATGCAATTTTTTTTTTTTTTTTTTTTTTGGTGGGTGAGATAATAAAGACTTTAGTGATACACATCTCACTAATTAACTCATACCTGGGGGAGAAGTGGCAGATTCATACCTTTCCCAAGGGTATTTGCACATAAGTGAATATAACGAACCCAATTAGAATTGAAACTATGCTCTCCAATTAACAATTCTGAGCTTCTAGCTATTACACCACCCATACATTCAAGCTTACAGCACCTGGTATTCCCAAGCAGTCACCCATCTAGGTACTGACCAGCCTCAACATTGCTTAACTTTAGGGAACCGGTGTAAAAAAGTGAGACGCTTAAGCTATAAATCCAAGGAATGGCTGAAATGTAAGGTACTATACAAATAAAACATTGTGCATCATATGTTACCAGGATTACTATATGACTTTTCCACACAGTCGCCATCAAGGTTGATGATCTTTTCCCTTCTGTCTATAAGGACATACTCTTCTCAAAGAATTTGGTTTCAAGCTACTCTTGCACCAATGACAATCTTTAGGTCAAGTCAGGTAGATGCAGTAAGACACACTTTTTGTTAGGTGAGTTGAGTGATATAGTCATGACACTATTACATGACCTGATCTCCTTTGATGAACAACTTCCCTCGGTCAGTCAAGTTTCACAGTATTTGTATTGTTTGACAATGCTCTATGAAATAATGAGCAGCAACCCAAACCATAGTTGCTATCAATTTCTTCCCTGACTGAAAAGAGTTGCTTCAGCAATATGTTTGCAATAATATATTACTGCATCTGGATAACCTACAGGGAATTCTGAACTGAACCCTTTATTTAATCTATAGAATAGACCTCATTCTACTGCCCATATCTAGAGATATCACCTAGTTCCTACAGGACAATAGCCTAAACATTGGTTTGCAAATTTGTTAACATAGTAATTGCAAGTTCAATTGCTGGGTCGAACAGTGTGTACTAAGTAGAAATGGGCAAACAATAACTGAGCAGTACTAAAAATAAGAACTAGACAATATCCCTAGAAATGAGCAGTGGAATGAGAACATAGATTAAATAAATGGTTCAGTTCAGAATTCCCTGTAGGTTATCCAGAATGATATACACCTGATGACAGCTGAAGAGCACAATGGCCAAAACACTGGTATCAACAACAAAGATGAAGACAATAGTCTGAATATAAATAGTATAAATAGCTATAAACATGTTGGATTAGTAAATATGTGTACCTTGCTTTTCAGAAATCACTTGTATCTGTTCATTTTGATGACATATATTACTAATAATAATCTTAATTGAAATGTCTTATTTTCTTTCTATTTTCATTACTGAAGAGAGAACAAGTATTTCAAGGAAATATATAACATCAGGTGTTTGAATGCTAACCTATATCATGTCTGACAAGAGATGTAATAGCTTTTTTCAGTTATTACTGTGTGGAAATCATCAGATATCCAAATAAAAAAATGGCTACTAAATAGTCAAATAATCAACACAACTGCTTACAATTTTGAAAATAATTTTAGCCAAAATATTTAAACAAGGAGTTGTTTGGTGGGAAGAGGGAGAGGGTTTTTAATACCTTTACTGTCCTATGCATCTTATAGCATGTCATGTATTGTCTCTAACACATACATGCATTCCTGTTTTATTTAAGGCAATGTAAATAGCTATAGCAACATAGCTGTTCTTGGTGATATTATGCTTTACCTAGATTTGTAAACTTCTTTTATGGTGGGGAGGGGATAATTATGAGGCAAAATGTATAACATGACACCATGAGGATAAAAAACAAACCAACCAGTACCAAGAACATAGCATCATTCTTTATAGTTTCATAAATTTAATATTATTTACAACAATAAAGCATATGTAGTATTGTAAAAAATCACAACAATAATATACATGGCATTATCTAAAGGTTCAAATATTCACAGTAACATTGAATGTTCTTTTTAATTGGGTAACAGTTTTCATCACATGCTTTATTGCTATTTTCTAAACTATAATAATTTTATTATACAAGGATTCTTTCAAATTTGTATCTTTATTGTTTGTTCCTTTCACATTACGAGCACTGTATTCTCTTTTCAGCAGAGTTGCAGTATCAACCACAAGTTGATTCTGTGGGTGTTGAAGAAACAAAAATAGGTCTGGTGGGGTATGCTCAGAAATGAGCAATCATACTGATTTGCAGTCCACCTTCAAGTTAATATAGATATGATGAGGATTCTCTTCTTGCCTTCTTCAATTCTTATCACAATATTTCAGATACTGTATTCTATTTTCCTCAGATGGCTATCAAATCCTGTAATTTTCATAGAACCTCTCCCCACCCCAAGTTGGGTATATTGTTCTCGGCTTTTGTCATGTCTGGAATCTTTCCTTGTAATTTTCACTTTTCTCTTTGTGTTGTTACTCTGCTTTGTTAATTGAGTTAATGCGCTTTGAGCTCTGGTGAACTCATAACTTCCAGACAACAATTCCAACATTTTTACAAGAACACTATGATTATTCTACATACCTTCCCATGTATTCTTAATCTTTGAAGCACCTGACACAATTTATAGGTTTTATTTTAGAAGTTTGATAAATGCTTAAAACATTTTCTTTAACAATAATCCAACTCATGGCAAAAATGGCAATTTATAAAAGATTATTAAAAAAACGAGTTTTTCTATTCTTCCTAAATGAATAAGAACATAATGATGGCTAGTTACTAAGGTAGTCTCATAGGTCATTACTACCCGAGTGCCCCATACCTATGACCTTGTGCCAAAATTAAACAAATACTTTAATGTACAGTAACGTTAGCACTAGATGTAGTCTACACCTGATGGAATAACCTGGAATACTTGAAAAGGTGTGGGATTAATTAAATTTTTTAAGTTTATTTTCTCACATGAATAAACTAGGATTTTCCATAAAACTTAAACAATATTGGCTATGTAAACCATGGATAACAACAGCACAACGATTTAACTTTTTACTGCTAATAATTGCTTTTTTTTGTTTTAAAGTTTTCAACAAAAAGTTAAATGCGTATTACTAAACTAATTATTGAAAAAAATATAAATTTCTTGAAAAAAGTTTATAGCATTTCGCCTTTCACATAAAGCGAATAAAAGCAGTTACACAATTTTTATTTTTAAACTGCACCTTACAGTGTTGCAAATAAGTACTGACCAAATTAGTTTTAGTTTAATTTTATTTTAGTGCTTACTAATTTCACTCAGTAGCAGCAAAGGCAGTTGGGATATCATTGCAATCCAAGAAAATGTATACAAAAAATAAAAACTTTACTTTTTAATGTTGCACTGGCACGATTTATATGTTTGTGAATTCAAACAAATATATTTATTTTCGCCTATTGTTTGTCTTTAAATAAATAAATAAAAAATTACGAAGCGTTACTTTTTTGTATGACAAATAAAAATGAATGAAATGAAATAAACTATAATTAATAAAATATACGTGAATTCATAATTTAAAACATCTGAAAAGACATTTTGTTTCCATAACAAATTATAAAATATTAACCTAAATTGAAAAAACTATGTCAAAATTGTATCCAAACTTAAAGAAAGAAAAAAAAACAATACAATAATGATAGTGTAAAAGTGGGTTTAACTTTTTGTTTGTTGATAGAAAAAACAGCGATCTGTAAATTACATTTTCCAAAGAAAAAATGTTGCTGAATAAATGATTCAAAAGGAATTTCTTACAATAATAAGCTATCACTTTATCTCGTTTGTCGTGTTCATCAGCAGTTTTTAAATAATGTTGGATTGACTTCAGGTTAGATGGTAGCACACCAACGCCGCTATACGCCATGTTTGTTGTGAATGGAGAGTTGGTTATCAAGGGAGATAACTCTCATAACCAATGACTTCTTGAACCAAGTACCACTCCTAATGAAACTAAGGTCAGAAATCAGCAAAAGTGTTAAGAATCAATTTTTTAAAATAAAAAAAAAGAGTGTATAATATTACATCAGGATAATGGTAAACCACATGCTTCTTCCGTGACTAGACAACGATTGTCATACACTGTCTTGTAACTTTTCACTCAGCTGCCATATTCAGAAATTATTGCATTCTTGCAATTTTTTTATAATTTCATCCACAGCAAGGTGATAATGCCACTAACATGAAGGGGTTTCTGAGTGTGGAAGAGATTCAGAAAGTTTTAATGAGGTGAAAAGACAATAAATACAGGGATTATGAAGACAGAAGATTGCAACTGATTTTGCATTTAAATCCTTCAAGTTTATAGGTGGTGGCAAAGTAAAAAAAAAATAGAAGTGATTTCAACAAGTGATAAGTGCAAGAAAAGAAACTATTAGAATAGAAATCTTGCTATTTCAACAGTAAAATGATGAGACTTAGTTACCAATCTAGTTGTTATGTTTTGCATATCTTGCTGGCTAGTAGTAGTCACAGAACAGTTTTCTGTGTCCTGAATAGCAACCAGGTTTGCCAGGCATAGCCACCCTATGTTCACCAGTTGTTCTATCTAATTTATATATGATACTACTTTATCTAATTTATCTAATTTATATATGATACTACACTAGTAGTATTCTTAAATTCATGTAGTAGAGGTACCAAGGAAGAGAGCTCATTAGAACAATTACCATGACAATATTTATAGAAAAGACAGAGGAAAGTCATATCACAGAGGTGGGAAAATGACTGAATTCAAGATGACAGGTCAGGACTGATTACATTAAGCCCCTTCTTTGGAATGTATCAAGAATTTTGTGATATATAACCAGAGTACCAGACCAGATATGGCAGCAATATTCAATGCTGAGATGAATGGTAGATTTATAAATGTGCAAAATAGATTCTGACAGGAAAAATTGTCTGGCACAACACAGTGAACCAACTTTCCCAGTAACAGGCCAAACAATTGATTCAATATAAATACTCCACTTCATATGAGTAGAAAATGTTAGACCAAGAAGGTGCAATTAATTGCTCTCCTGGAGGTTAGCATCAGCCATGTTGATGGAGGGCAAAATGGTTCTCTATGATGATTAGACGATAACAGTTTCACCTTGAAGGTATTAAAATTTACAAGGTATTTCTTGCCCAAATTAACAACTGATTGGCACTCATTTTTGAGAGCAGTTGTCATTTTTACTTTGTCAAACCTATCAGACTTTCTACTTAGAGTTGAGTAAATAGTTGTGTCATCAGCATAAATACCTGTTTGGAAACTGATGACATCAGGAAGGTCTTTGATGAAGATAAGAAACAATGTAGGTCTAAGGATTTTCATTACTTGATTCATTAAGATTGACTGGATTAAGTCAAATATTCGGCCAGAGACATTATAATCCTTGAGCTTGTGAAGAAGGCCAGCATGCCAAACTCTGTCAAACACCTTTGCAATATCTAAAGCCACACCACGAGCTTCACCATTCTAAAGCTTGATAGACAAATTCAGTAATAACTGTTAATACATCAGCAGTTAAATTGCAATTTTCATAGAATTCTTTTAATGAAAAAAAATTTCAGTTTCCTGGAAGACTTCAAAGTGAACCAAGAATAAATAGTTCTTTGCTTAGAAAGATTTAAAAGCAATTCTGGGGGGATGGAATTATGAAGTTGCTTGAAAGATGCAAGATAATAGAGAAAGGCTAAATATGTTATTCAATAAAGTTAATGATGAGCATAGAAAAATATAAACACCTAAAATGCAGATTAGTTTATGCTAGAAGCCATTTAGAACATGAGAGTAAATACTGAAAATATATTTTATGGCCAGATTAAACCAAAGTAGAATTTTTAGTCACACGCACACCCATTATATATGTAGGAAATGAACGAAGCTTACAAACCAAAAAATACCCTCCCTACAATTAAGCACAATGGTTGGAGTATTCTACTTTAGGGATGTTTTGCTGCTTCTAGACCAGGAGAACTAGTGAAAGTACAGGGTATCATAGCTAAAGTGCACTATTTGGTTATTTTAAAAATAATATAAAACAAAGTTCACAATAGCTGTCTTTGGGTCTTCACTGGATGTTCCAACATAACAATGACCCAAAACACATGGCACAAATTGTTACAAAATACTTAAATGACAGCAAAATTAATGTATTGACATGCCCAACACAAAGTTCTAACATAAAGCTCACTGAAAATTTATGGGAATATTTGAGGAAAAAAGTAAGAGAAAGAAGTCCATCAAATTTGGGGGAACTAGAAGTTATTGCCAACGGAGAATGGAGCAAAATATCTATCAGTGTGTGTAGTGATCTTGTAAGGAATTATCAAAAATGCTTAAAGGCAATAATCAAGAATAAAGGTTACACAATTGATTATTGAGGCAAGTGGGCCAATAATTTTGTACTACGTTAAATGTTTTTGGCAATTGTCTGATGTTAAAATAAAATTTTGTAAGCATCACTGCACATTCAATTAAATCCATTATTTCATCATTTGTGAAGGCAGATGAAGTTTCCATGAAAATTTAAGGTCTTATGGTTTTATTTGTAATTATGGAAGGTGGTGGGGGTGAATAATTCTGTCCATAACTGTAACTCCCCCTTTCAACCTAATGGTTAAAACCAAACTAGGACATAAATTTCTAAACCTTATCAAAAAAAACTTTTCCCCAACCCCAAAACTAATCCACTCAGTAAAATATTCAATTATAATACCCTTAAATTAAGCTACAATTGTGGTGATAACCTGGAAAAAATAATTAAGAAACATAATACCAGAGTTTTCAACAAGTATAGGGACTCAAAAAACTTGACTACTCACCAGGTTGCAATGAGTAAAACTAAGTATAAGGGCATTAATAATAACTTGTGCAATTGTAGGAATCCTAATATTTGCCCATTACAGAATAACTGTTTAACTAGTTCTGTAGTTTATCTTAGTACAATTTCTACACTAGAAAACCCCAATATTAAAAAAATTTACATTGGAAGTAATGTCAATACATTCAAACAACGTTGGCATGGACATGTGCAATCTTTCAACAGTAATAATCATAAAGACTTCATTGTCATAGTATTTTTGGAGTTTAAAGGAGAAAAACAAGTCACCTACTGTTAAATGGAAATTTAATTAAGAGAGCTCGAACATGTAATTCTCTATATACCGCTTGTTATTTATGTCTTAATGAAAAATTTGAAATCATTTGATTTAAAGACAAGACCCATCTCTTAACTCAAAGGAATGAACTCACTATTAACTGTAAGCATAGCTCAAAATTCATCTTATTATAGGGGTAGTAATATTTTTGACAATAATGCAATGTTACTGTAAGTTTAGTATGTTATTATATTATCTACTAATTCTCCTATGTACATATATGTATACGTTTATTATGTTGCTTGTTTGTGTGTGCACATGTATTTTTTTATTGATAGATGTATGTGAATTTTATATATATATATATATGTGTGTGTGTGTGTGTGTGTGTGTGTGTGTGTATTTACATGTACATGTATATATGTATATATATATGTCTATGTATATGTACATATATATATGTGTGTGTGTGTGTGGATGTGTGTGTATTTGTGGGTATGTATGTATATATGAATATATTTGTACTTGTAGTGTATGTATATTTGTGTATGTATGTATTTGTAATGGTGAATGTGTGTACACATACGTATGCATGTATTTTTTATGCGTATTGTTACATATTTGTATCCGTGTATACGTATTCATGCGTATATAAGTATATATGATATATATATATATATATATATATATATATATATATATATATATATATCTATGTCTTTATGTGTTTTTTTTTTTTATTAGCTGTTTCTATTTTATTTCAAGTGTTTCATTTTGCCTGGACATTTGAATTTGGGTTTTTTATATGTGTGTATGCGTATATATTTATTTTTTCTGTCCATTTCTATATATTTTATTGTCTTTTTTCTTTGCGTTGTTCATTGCCGAATATTTGTTTTTCTATTCTACGTTCTCTTGAATTTTATCCATTGAACCCTTTTTTTATCTACATATCTTTGACTGTTTGAACACGTTTACGAACACTTTCAAAATTGGATCTTGTGTATATGTGTGCGTCTTTATTAATGTATGTGTGTATGATTGCTTACATATGCCTTTCATTGTAGTGTCTGGTTTTTGTGTTGTTTTTTGTTATTTTTTAGGGTCGTGGACATCTATTTCCTGTTTCGTTCGTGTTTTTGCTTTTTTAAATGTGTCTACATGTTTTATGTATTATAACCTGATTGTGTATATATTGTCTTTTGCAAGATTTCATCCTCCCTGCCCATATCACCATTTCAAATGTATCTAAGTTGTAACGAAGTTTACACCCCGTTACATTAACGTTTATGCTAAGGTTTTGGCATTTCAATTAAAACAAAATAAATAATAAAAAAAATTTTTTCGTTAGTTTCTTCTTTAATATAATATTTTAAACTTAATACAGATTAAATTTAAAATTGGTAATTTTTAGATTTTCAATTTTATAGTAAAATTTAATATTAATCAGTTAATGATTTCTATTTTAGTCTAACCCTAACATTAAGGCATTAATAATTTTAACCAAGGTTCGTTGTCAAGTTTTCTTTCATATACTTGTATTTTGATTGGTCATTGCAGCTTAACAGCATCTCCCCTATCGATGGGGTTTTTGGTTGATTTGAACCTTCTAAAACTCTTTATTCTACATTCAACACCATCACTTGATAAGACACCAGAGGTGTTGCAACAAAATGGCTATTTTTGTAGTGATTTTATAACATATTTCTGTTATAATTTTAGAATAAATTATATATATATATATATATATATATATATATATTATTATTATTATTATTA